CTTAACCTACCTCCTCCTCCTCCTCTTCTCAACAATCACACACACACACACACACACACACACACACACACACATAAAAGAAAAGACCTCCCAAGATTCCCCCAAAAAACAAAAGGTCGCTTGCTTACTTACTACCAAACATTATCACCAACATTGTCCTTCCTTCGTCCCTTACCTTATTACTGGCTGACATATCTTACGCACCTACCTAGTTCTTCGATCTTATACGTCTGGTCGTACGAGATACATTATGTACCTGTACTATGTAGTGGGATTGATGCTAGGTAGATAGAGTTGGTCTGCCTAGGTACCTTACATGTACTACTTCTCTACCTCTTACTCGAGAAGCAAAACATCTACTTGAGCACACACATATACACAGATACTCGACAATCTCAAAGAAGTACTGAAAAGGTAATTTTGGCAAGCCTTGCATTGAAACATCGCTATACAAGATCAAAAAGCATGTGATTATCTACCCAGTCTCGCCCCATCCATCAATGCCCAATTAGAAAAAGTGTTTGTGAAGAACCTCGATCAAAGGCCCCTCCTACTACCATCACATCCAATTGGCATGTGCTGCGTAGGCCCATCCAAGTACAGGAAACGTTATCATGGTAACATGGCCGTTCCCCGACTCCTATTCCCATGGATCATCCTGTGCCGTACATCCAGCTACTCCACACATTCGAGAACATGTCCGCTCAAATCTATAATAGGATCATGCCAGCGCCAGAAATCATTCCAAGAGTCACAATAAAAGCCATTGGAATGAGAGAAGACACTGCTGTAGGTACACCAAGCGGTGCACCTGCACCCTGTGAGGAGTGCGATCCAGAGCCAGATCCGGATTGCTGAGCCTGATCATTCGAGTTTGCTGTTGGGCTCGAAGTGACGAGACCGGTACCGGCAGTTCCAGCCTCAGACATGAGAGTCTCGCAAGCTCCGGAAGCGGTAGTGGCAGACTTGACTTCAGCGGCGCCATCGAAAGCGCAAGCATCAGCTGCGCTGTTCTGGGAGAGGTAGTATTGGTTGAGGGCGAAAGCGAGCTGTTCAGTAGAGTTGCACATGCTGTAAGCACCATAGTCACCAGTGGAAGCATTGGCAGTGATGCCAGCACAAATGTCGTCGCCGTATCCGCAAACGGTGCCAAAGAGATCGCCATAGTCATCCACATTTGTAGAGCCGGTGACGACACAGCTGAGAGAGTTGTACATGCAGTTGCAGAGCTGCTTGTTGGGCGACGGTGGAAGAGGAGAGGATTTGGCGTTCCAGTCGTCCGTGCCGTCGGCTGGGCAAGCAGCGGCAGTGTTGGATGGCGTGTAGTCGGCCTGGTTGACACCGACGGGATTGACCTTAGCAATTTCGGACTTGAGGTTGTCGAAGTCTTCCAGAGTCTTCACGTCATTGCCGTCAACAGACACGAGACCGTAGTCGTTCGCCTCCTGGAAGTACATGTAAACAATGCCACCGGACCAAACAGGCGTCATCTTGCTGCCGAAGAGAGCCCCGACCTCTGTGAAAGGGCGCGGCGAAACGGCGTTGCAGCCATATTCGGCGAAGAAGACGGGAACGGAATATGTGGAGAACTCCTTGGTGCGCACATCGAAGCCAGACTCGGTGTAGGAAGAGTCGCCACACCACGAGTAGATGTTGTAGCCCCAAAAGTCAATGGCGCTAGCGGGATCTCCGCAGTTGAAGAAGTCGGCCATGTTCACACGAATGTCAGCGTCATCATTGGTTGCGTATCCGACACCAATGGTTCTGTATCCTTGAGACTTGATGTATGCCTTGGTGTCGCGGACTGCGGCTTTTACGAATGCGCTGGCGTCGGTGTTGTTTGGTGCGTTCGACACCTCATTGCCGGCGAAGAAGCCGAGGACGTTGGTGTAGTTGGCCATGGCATCAACGACGGAGGTGTATCGCTCGTACAGCGCATCATTCCAGGCGGGATCATCGCGGTTGATGGATGAGCCGTCTACAGGCGCAGACAGATCGGCCACCACGTAGATACCAGCGTCCGAGAGCATGGTCATGCATTCGTCGTGGTTCTGGTCTGGGTTGATGGCGTAAACACGAATGGTGTTGGTGGAGAGCTCCTGGAGATATGGAATGTCACGCTTGCAGGCGTCGGCGTTGGCCAGAGGATCGCTGTACGTCTGATCGCTTGTGGTCGAGCCATTGCCGGAGTAGTCCTGCTGGTAAGCGACACCCTTCATGAAGCTGCGCCCGAGTGTCAGTACAGATATCTTAATGCTGCCGGTGTACTGTTGTCACCGTCGCCGTCACTGCTCTTACAATTGAGTGCCGTTGTTCTCGTAGAAGAACTTGGAGCCCTTGATGACGATCGCAGGGAGATCGGCGGCAGCGGCGCTGCCCACCAATGCCGCGGCGGCGGAGGCCAATGTGAAGGTCCTCATGATGTTGTTTTATGAAAATACAGTACGCTGATGGTGATGGTGATGCGGGAGAGGTGGCGCGAGTGAGGTTGCTGATCGAAGGGATGCAAGTCGAGGAGTGCGCTGAGCTGGAATGCCGGCGTCCACCAGGGAAGCAAAGGAAGCAGGCAGGCGTCAGGCAGGTATGGCGGCTTCTGATGCTGGGTGGTCGCGTCCGGTGAACGAGTGTGAGGTAAGGTAGGTAGGTATAGGAAGGAAGATGGTGATGTATTAGTGCCAAGGCGAGAACGATAGACAAGCACACGAAGGGAGGAGACAAGCAAGATTGGCAGACGCGACAAGGAGAGTGGGTGGCAGTGGGTGGTGATGTGGGTGGAGGCCGCGAGAGTTGAGAGGTTTGTTCAGGAGACAAGCCGCGAGCCGAGAGCTGTCCGTTTCTGCTTGCGCGTCTTCGCCCTGCGCTAGCCCTGTTTGGGCCACATGGAACCGGGAGTCGCCACTCACTGGCACTCACTCAGAAGTCAGAACGCTGCCATCGAACAACAATTACATTATTACCTCGAAATAATCATCTCTGCGCATCTACAACCATTGGCATTGCTACCTGTACTCCACCCCTTGAATTTGACGTGTCTGGAGTGGGTAGTGCAATACGGCTGCTTACAGCGGCAACTCTGATGCATACCAGGTACCTTATCGACCACGCCATCGCCTCAGCCTCCTCTCACTACTACATGTCACGTATATACCTACTCACTACATGACCGTGTGTATCGTACTCTTCACGTGCGAGAGCGGCGGGATTACTGTGACGATTGCGCAGTCTCCTAAAATTACCTACACCACTACACACACCAAATAAACCCTGTGTGTTGTCAGCCTCAACGCTTTCACGAGCCGGCACTTTTCTAGAATGTCACACTAGGTGAATCCTCAGGCACTGATTTAGTTTTGAACGACTGTTTAACCGGATCTCTGTTCCGGATATCAAACCATTATGAATTCCTTCGGTTTGGCCTCTCTCCTTGTGGGAAGCATGATGATGGCGACAGAGAGCGAGAAAGGAAAAGTTGCGCAAGGATCCATGTGCTTCGCCAAGAAGACGCCTGCTTTTTTCTAGCTTGGACAGCTGAGAAACGAGCGTTCTTCGTCGCCCGAGCAAGATCAGCACGCCATACCATGCGAGAGCATCACCAGCTTCATGTACAGGTATCTTTTACAGCTCCCCTAGCAACGACCTCACCCTGACGACTTCCCGCTGCTGATGCTCGATTTTATGCATGTGAACTGTGGACAGTCAGCAGTACGCGCTACGCAGACGCTGGGCTGGCGCTGGGCAATCGGACCAGTTGAGACTGGCCCGTCGTTCGCAGGACTACTGCAGGTACCAATGCAGAGCAATGGAGCTGCTGACGCGCACACTGCACACTGTGGGAGCTTTTCAGGCACAACAGGATTCACACACTCTTCCGTGCTGGCCGAAACGTCGACAGCATTTGTAGATCGAAGGCAGATATTTCGAGAGCTGCGTCTGTCGACGCTGTCGGTGGTGGTTGATCGCGTGGTCCAAGTGCTCTGTTGCTGTCAACAGTGTCAAGGTTGTGTGGCACGCCTCACACTGGAAAGCTTCCTGGCAGCTTTTCGTGTTTCAAAGTTTGTGCCACGCGCTAGTCAGCATTGTTGCACGGCACACCTGGCCTATCGTTGAGCTCGAGTGAGGCGTCGATACTTGTTTTGTGTAGTTGTGTTGATGTGGCTGATACAAACAAGTATTCTTGATCTTATTCATGCAGGAGAGGGTGGCCTGCGACATAGACAGAAAGCCTGCCATGACGCATCTCATGAAGCAAGAAGAGCGAAGTGCTGTCTAGTATAAACAGCCACCCCCCAGCAAATGTTATCATATCGATTGTGGCAATTCTGGGATTTGTGAGGTGTGGTAGAGTTACTGTTCAAAATAGAATCGATACATGTAATCATTGTAATGCAAGCCAAGATCCATCATTTGCCACACTGGATACCTCCTAGTGGGTACGCGCCTCCTGCAGGTCACTCAACATTGCGGCATCTGGAGATACGCTTGTCCGAATCAGACGGTGAGGTGAGTGTTCTATCGTCGATTGCACACATTTTCTTGTTCGCATATCGCTGTTGATCTTCACAGTCCAGTTCGACGGGTGGCTGCAGCCCCCCCATCAGAGCATCGTGGCGAAGTACGAGAATGTGCATGGGGACTGGTCGTCAGCATTACATGTACTGTCAACGAGGAGCCGGATTGCAGGCGTCTACTCCGAACACATTGCTGAGCAAAAATTCAGAGCCCAAGAGGTGTAGGCTGCATGACGGAGTGCAAGGAAAAAGTTGTTCATGGAGACTAGAACGAAGGCCAACCATGAATATCCACAGATGAGTGGTCCTCGGCCGGGACTATGATCGGTAGAGAGCATTGGTGTGTTTTGGCAGAAGTGGCGCCAATAAACATTTCTCGTTTCCCCTTTTTCGCTCCCTGCTCCCTGTCCATGGTCTAGCGCGTGGTGACTTCCAGGATCTGTCACGCACATTTGTAGTAATAATCCTGTGCTGTCCTTTTTCCTCCTCCACTTCTCCAGCGCTGCCTCCCGCCGTGTTGCCAAACAAGCAACCCACTACCGCTCCCATCACCACCACCACCAGCCGACGTCTCGACCGGTCGTGGACAGACCATCAGGTGTATACACATTCGTTCGGGCGTGGAGAGTCGTGGACAGTCGCGCATCGGCGTGGAAGCGAGATTTTCACGGTTCAGTCGGAAACATCCAGGGCCGCCGCCAATCAGCGCCGCCAATCGAGGAGACGCACGCATTGGCGCACTCTTTTGCCCCAACGCGCGTTCTGTACCTTCGTTCTCCCAGCAACAGCGAAGCATCAGCCTCTCTCCTTCCTTGCACACAGCACCATCGCTCTTTCCTGGAACCACACTCCACCACCTCCACCACCGCAGCAGTGCGGCATCTCTCTGTTATTTCGTCGACTTCGCAACGGCAGGACCTGCTCGCTGTCGCCCTCGTTTGACTTGCTCCTGCTCGTGTCTGGGATTCCGATCGTGGACTCCACCAACGCTCGCTCCATTTCTGCCCGCCACTCCCGATCAACACACACACGGCAGACCGCTCGCTCGTCAACAGCACCACCCTCTACAATACGGCTACAGACCCATAATCGCGAGCACGCGGCACCGCTCTCCCCCAATTGCAGTGCCCATGCTGCACGTTTGAACAGGTACGCTGCCTCGATCGCATCTGCCCCCTACCACCGCCCGTCTCACTGCCGTTTCACACCCTCCTCCTCCTCCTCCTCCTCCTCCTCCCTTTCTCCCATCCGCCCACCACAGCACCCTCTCTCCGCGCGGCCGTCGACCTCGTGCCCGTCTGCATGTGCCATCGTTCCCTACTAACAGTGGCGGGCAGTAATATCTAATCCGACATCCTCCGCCCATCATGGCGCAGCCCCACCAGGGAGCTTACGATGATGGCTACGGTGCTCAACACCCACACGACCCTCATGCAGCGCAAGATGGGTACTACCAAGACGGCCAGGCGTACTATGACCAACATGGTGCCGCGTACGGCCAGGGCCAGCACGATGGCTACTACGACGACAATGGATACTATCAGGCCCAGCCTGGCCAAGAAGGGTACGCGCAAGACGGATACTACGATGCCCCTGGTCAACAAGGTTATCAAGACGAGTACTACAACGACCAGTACTACGACCAGGGAGCTCCAGCTGCAGGCCAGTATCAGCAACAAGGTCGCGCGTACGCAGGCCAGCGTAGGAGCGGTCGACGCGGTCACGACTCAGAAGAAGACTCCGAGACCTTTAGCGACTTTACCATGAGATCAGACATGGCTCGCGCTGCGGAAATGGACTACTACGGGCGTGGCGATGAGCGCTACAACTCGTATGGCGATGGCACGGGACGAGGTTACCGTCCACCATCATCGCAAGTGTCCTATGGTGGCAACCGCTCCTCGGGCGCGTCAACACCGGTATACGGTATGGACTACACGAGTGCTTTGCCAGCTGGCCAACGGTCTAGAGAGCCATATCCAGCCTGGACCTCGGACGCACAGATTCCACTCTCCAAGGAGGAGATTGAAGACATCTTCCTCGATTTGACTGCAAAGTTTGGTTTCCAGCGTGACAGTATGCGAAACATGTTCGACCACTTGATGACCCTCCTCGATTCTCGCGCCTCCCGCATGTCGCCCAATCAGGCACTCCTCTCGTTGCACGCCGACTACATTGGCGGTGAGAACGCCAATTTCAGACGGTGGTACTTCGCCGCTCACCTCGATCTCGACGACGCTGTTGGCTTCGCAAACATGAAGCTCGGAAAGGCGAATAGAGCGACCAGAAAGGCGCGCAAGGCCGCAAAGAAGAAGAAGGACGCCAACCCTGAGAATGAAGAGGCGACTCTGGAGAGTCTCGAGGGTGACAACAGCTTGGAAGCCGCCGAATACCGCTGGAAGACACGTATGAACCGCATGTCTCAGCACGACCGGACCCGACAGATTGCGTTGTACCTCCTCTGTTGGGGCGAAGCCAACCAAGTGCGTTATATGCCTGAGATCATGGCCTTCATCTTCAAGTGCGCAGATGATTTCTACCATTCTCCCGCATGCCAGAACCGTGTCGAGCCAGTCGAGGAGTTCACGTACTTGAACAAGTGCATCACACCATTGTACACCTACTGCAGAGACCAAGGATACGAGATCTACGAGGGCAAGTACGTCCGCAAGGAGCGTGATCACCAAAAGGTCATTGGCTACGATGACATGAACCAGCTCTTCTGGTATCCCGAAGGTATCGAGCGCATCGTTTTTGAGGATAAGACCCGCCTTGTCGATCTGCCACCTGCGGAGCGGTACGAGCGTCTCGGTGACGTTATCTGGAAGAAGGCCTTCTTCAAGACGTACAAGGAGACACGTTCTTGGTTCCACATGTTGACCAATTTCAATCGTATCTGGATTATCCACGTTTGTGTCTTCTGGTTCTACACTGCATTCAACTCGCCAACTCTGTACACCGCCAACTATCAGCAACAGCTCAACAATAAGCCCCACGGCGCCGCTCAGTGGTCTGCTGTCGCTCTTGGTGGTACTCTCGGTTGTCTTATTCAAATCCTGGCTACTCTGGTAGAATGGATGTACGTTCCACGACGATGGGCCGGCGCACAGCACTTGACCAAGCGCCTGTTTTTCCTCCTGGGCATGTTTGTTCTCAACCTCGCTCCCGCTGTCTACATCTTTGGCATCAACCAAAAAGGCAAGATTGCCCTTATCTTGGGTGTTGTCCAATTCTTGATCGCCTTGGGCACTGTCTTCTTCTTCGCCATCATGCCTCTTGGTGGACTGTTCGGAAGCTACCTGAATGGTAAGCGACGACAGTACGTGTCTTCTCAAACCTTTACAGCCAGCTATCCTCGTCTGGAAGGCAATGACATGTGGATGTCGTACGGTATGTGGGTTTTGGTCTTTGCGGCGAAGCTTGCTGAGTCTTACTTCTTCCTGACTCTCTCGTTCCGTGACCCTATCCGCATCTTGTCGACCATGGACATCCAGAACTGTCTCGGAGACCAGATCATCGGCACAATCCTGTGTTACCATCAGCCAACAGTACTTCTCATTCTGATGTACTTCACTGACCTGATCCTCTTCTTCTTGGACACTTACCTCTGGTATGTTATTTGGAACTGCGTCTTCTCCGTGGCACGATCTTTCTATCTTGGTGTGTCTATCTGGACGCCATGGAGAAACATCTTCTCTCGCCTGCCGAAGCGTATTTACTCGAAGATCCTGGCCACCACCGACATGGAGATCAAGTACAAGCCCAAGGTCCTCATTTCGCAGATCTGGAACGCTATCGTCATTTCCATGTACCGCGAGCATTTGTTGGCCATTGATCACGTCCAGAAGCTCCTCTACCACCAGGTTCCATCCGAGCAGGAGGGCAAGCGCACTCTTCGCGCTCCCACCTTCTTTGTGTCTCAAGAAGACCACTCCTTCAAGACTGAATTCTTCCCATCGCAATCTGAGGCTGAGCGTCGTATCTCTTTCTTTGCCCAGTCTCTGTCGACGCCAATCCCGGAGCCATTGCCAGTGGACAACATGCCAACCTTTACGGTCATGATTCCCCACTACGGCGAGAAGATCTTGCTGTCCCTCCGAGAGATTATTCGTGAAGACGAGCCATATTCCCGAGTCACCATGTTGGAATACCTCAAGCAATTGCACCCTCACGAGTGGGATTGCTTCGTGAAGGACACCAAGATTCTCGCTGACGAGACCTCGCAATTCAACGGCGACTACGAGAAGAATGAGAAGGATACGCAGAAGAGCAAGATTGACGACCTGCCATTCTACTGCATTGGTTTCAAGTCTGCTGCGCCAGAATACACTCTTCGCACACGTATCTGGGCCTCCCTGCGCTCGCAGACTCTCTACCGCACCATCTCTGGTTTCATGAACTACAGCCGCGCCATCAAGCTGCTGTACCGCGTCGAGAATCCCGAAGTCGTCCAGATGTTCGGTGGCAACTCTGACAAGCTCGAGCGCGAGCTCGAGCGCATGGCTCGTCGCAAGTTCAAGATTGTTGTCTCCATGCAGCGCTACGCCAAATTCTCCAAGGAGGAACGCGAGAACGCAGAGTTCCTCCTGCGCGCCTACCCTGATCTCCAGATTGCCTATCTCGACGAAGAGCCTGCCACCCAAGAGGGCGAGGACCCCAGACTCTTTTCTGCTCTCATCGATGGTCACTCTGAGCTTATGGAGAATGGCATGCGTCGTCCCAAGTTCCGTGTCATGCTTTCCGGTAACCCAATTCTTGGTGATGGAAAGTCTGACAACCAGAATCACTGCCTGATCTTCTACCGTGGAGAGTACATTCAGCTCATCGATGCCAACCAGGACAACTACCTCGAAGAGTGCTTGAAGATTCGATCTGTGCTTGCTGAGTTTGAGGAGATGACTACTGATAATGTCTCGCCATACACTCCTGGTCTGCCACCTACCAAGTTCAACCCTGTTGCCATTCTCGGAGCTCGTGAGTACATTTTCTCTGAGAACATCGGTATTCTCGGTGATGTTGCTGCTGGAAAGGAGCAGACATTCGGTACCCTGTTCGCTCGTACTCTGGCCCAAATCGGTGGTAAGCTTCATTACGGTCACCCGGATTTCCTGAACGGTATCTTCATGACTACTCGTGGTGGTGTCTCCAAGGCTCAGAAGGGTCTTCACTTGAACGAAGATATCTACGCCGGTATGAACGCCATCCTCCGTGGTGGTCGCATCAAGCACTGCGAGTACTACCAGTGTGGCAAGGGTCGTGATCTTGGTTTTGGATCGATTCTGAACTTCACCACCAAGATTGGTACTGGTATGGGAGAGCAAATGTTGTCTCGCGAGTACTACTATCTCGGAACCCAACTGCCTTTGGACCGCTTCCTGTCATTCTACTACGCCCATCCCGGTTTCCACATCAACAACTTGTTCGTCATGTTGTCGGTGCAGCTCTTCATGTGGTGCTTGCTCAACCTGGGTGCCCTCCGACACGAGACCATTGCTTGCCGATACAACCGCGATGTGCCCATCACCGATCCGCTCTTCCCCACTGGTTGCGCTAACATCGTTCCTATCATGGACTGGGTACAGCGTTGCATTGTCTCCATCTTCATCGTGTTCTTCATCTCCTTCGTGCCTCTCACGATTCAAGAATTGACGGAACGTGGGTTCTGGCGTGCGGCAACTCGTCTGGCAAAGCACTTCTCCTCGCTGTCTCCTCTCTTCGAGGTGTTCGTCACCCAGATCTACGCCTACTCGCTGCAGCAAGATTTGTCTTTTGGAGGCGCTCGCTACATTGGTACCGGTCGTGGTTTTGCCACCGCCCGTATGCCATTCGGTGTGCTCTACTCGCGATTCGCAGGTCCTTCCATCTACCTGGGTGCCCGACTTCTGATGATGCTGCTCTTCGGTACCTTGACGGTCTGGGGTTACTGGCTGCTTTGGTTCTGGGTGTCTCTCCTGGCGCTCTGCATTTCGCCTTTCCTGTTCAACCCTCACCAGTTCGCTTGGGCCGACTTCTTCATCGACTACCGCGAGTTCCTCCGCTGGTTGTCTCGCGGCAACACCAAGGCACACTCGGCGTCCTGGATCGGATTCGTCCGTCTGTCGCGTACTCGTCTCACGGGTTTCAAGCGCAAGGCACTCGGAGAGCCATCGGCCAAACTCTCTGGCGACACACCTCGTTCCAAGTTTACCAACGTGTTCTTTAGTGAGATCGTTGGCCCACTTGTGCTGGTCGCTGTCACCCTGATCCCATATCTGTTTATTAATGCCGGTGTGGGAGTCATTCCGAGCAACAATACCGATGGACAGAATCTCAAGGCCACCAGCTCGCTGATTCGTGTTGCAATCTGCGCCTTTGGCCCCATCGGTGTCAACGCTGGTGTCGCTGGTGGCTTCTTCGCCATGGCTTGTTGTATGGGTCCAGTGCTTAGCATGTGCTGCAAGAAGTTTGGTGCCGTCCTGGCTGGTATCGCTCACGCCATTGCTGTCATCATGCTGTTGGTCTTCTGGGAAGTCATGTTCTTCCTCGAGAGCTGGAGCTTCGTCAAGGCTCTTCTGGGCATGATCGCAGTCGTTGCGATTCAACGCTTCATCTTCAAGCTCATCATCGCCCTTGCTCTGACAAGAGAATTCCGCGCCGACACATCCAACATAGCATGGTGGACCGGAAAGTGGTATGCTCTTGGATGGCACACACTTTCGCAGCCTGGCCGTGAATTCCTCTGCAAGATCACCGAGATGGGTTTCTTTGCTGCGGACTTTTGCTTGGGACACGTACTCTTGTTCTTCATGCTGCCAGCCCTCCTTGTTCCTTACATTGACAAGTTCCACTCTGTCATGCTCTTCTGGCTCAGGCCCAGGTATGTCCCATTTCCCTGCACCTCATATGGCTACGTACTAACATGATTCGCAGTCGTCAAATTCGACCTCCCATCTACTCTCTCAAGCAATCGAAACTTCGACGGAGACGTGTCATTCGCTACGCGATTCTCTACTTCTCCATGTTTGTTCTGTTCATCATCTTGATGGTCGGACCGGTCATTGCCAAGAAGTTGATTGACATCCCGAAGATCGACATCATGGAACTCCAGCAGCCATCTGACTGGAACAACAATGACACCACGAACTCCCAGACGGGTACCGCCCTCGGCTCCGGAGCCAGACCGACGGCCAGACCATCGGCTACTCGTGAAGCATCGAGGATGATGGCGAGGATGATGATGGATGCTTACCAGCAAATGTAGAGACTGCGAAAAAGCATCTTTTTGACGACACGGCCGAGCAGAGAATTATCACTCCCAGATTGCACGTTAACTAGACCCGCTGCCTGGACACGACACGACGTTCTGTCGTGGAGTTGTCTCATGTACCAACAGCATCATGAGGAGCGGGAAGACGCTCTACCATCGTCGCCCATGGGCGAGTTGCGGGTGGATGATGGGAGCAACTGTATTTCACATTATACATGGAATGAATTTGGCGCATACAGATGGCATGGGTGAGGCGCAACATACATGATGTTTTGTTCATCACTGCTCTTCAAATAGTTTGCCTGTGGATGGGCTGCTCCGTTGCGATGGGAGTAAGAACATTGCAAGCAGGATCAATGTTTGTTGATAAGAAAAAAATTCAGAAGTATCAGTTTTCGGCATTCTCTCTCTCTCTCTCTCTCTCTCTCTCTCTCTCTCTCTCTCTCTCTCTCTCTCTCTCTCTCTCTCTCTCTTCTTGTGTGTACGCGCGTATATGAGTAGGATGTTTGTGATTCCAGAGCGGAAAGCTAACGGGTTGCAGCTGCACTACTCCTCCGGACAAAACGTACTGAGATATCTCAGCTCTCGAAGACGACGGAGCCCCAGGAGTCGAGAACAGCCAACATCTGCATCTATAACTAACTCATCTTCTTCGACGAGTAGGTATCTATTAGGAATATGGAAAGGAAACACTACACCCTTTTTCCTTTGGTTTTCCCCCCCGGAGGCGAGGCCAAACGAGCGACTAGTGACTCTAGAGCTAAGAGGTATGTAGGTATTGTATGTTAGCTTCCGTAGAAGAAGAAGAAGAAAAAGAAGACGAAACGAAACGAAACGAGAACGAGGGGGAGAGAGAGAGGAGGGAGAGAGAGAGAGAGAGAGAACTACCT